GAGTGATTAATGATTGGAACCGACTGCCGGACCCGACTGTCAATGCGCAATCAGAAGCGAGTTTCAAACGTTTGCTAGACATCTTCCTACTGAGTACTCCAGGATCCTGCAGGGCTGATATTACATCCTGAGCCATGACAGCCAACTCGCCTGCAATCCTTGGAAGATCGGGAAGCGAAGGAGCTGACACGGGACCCCCCTTCTGCTCTCTACCACTCAATGAACTCAATGAAAGTTTAGTGAGGGGACAGGCAACATCGACAAACATTGGAACATTGGAATGTAGAGAGCAGAAGGAAAAATCCTCTGTCAGCTCCATCGCCTCCCGTTCGTCACAGGGATCAAGGTGGACATTGCAAGTCGGTTCCAATGGAACCGCTGCATTGACACAAGAAGCAACAAGATCCGAGTTTACTCAACAGGTAAGAATTCAATTGATGTTTGAAACATTCCTCCGACTGCGCATCAACGACACACACAGGTAGATTATTCCATTCGTTCACTACTCTGGTAGACAGAGTGACATCACAACGGACCCGAAGTCTCCTTTGTTTAAACAATTTCCAATGGTGACCCCGAGTCGAACTGAAAGAATTGAGTGGAAAGAAATTCTGCAATTCAACTCCAAGTTCCCCTCTAACGATACGCCGTGTGAAAATCAAATCCCCGCGATCTCGACGGTAGGCTAGGGAGAACAAGTTCAGGCACTGGAGACGATGCGAGTAAGGCAGGTTTCGTAATTCCAGAACGGATTTAGATCCTCTCCGCTGAACTTTTTCAATCAAGTTGCACTCAAATTTGGAAAGAGGATAAACAGCGGGCAGTCCATACTCAAGAATCGGACGTACATGAGAAGTGAACAGGAGCCTGAAGATCTCCGGAGTCAAGCGAGAGAAGGATCGTCGTATGGCGAAAAACAACCTGTTGGCAGAAGCGACTTTCCTCAAGGTATCTTCGGTCGATTTTAGGTCTGGGGTCACAATGACGCCGAGGTCCCTCTCACGATTAGAGTTCGGCAGCAAAAACCCACCGATATGATAAATTCCAAATGGTTCGGAGGCACCGATCGGAAGAACGGAACATTTATCGTGATTTATGGGTAATTGACACCTGATCGACCACTCATGCAGCGAATCGAGCCTTGTTTGTAGTAAATCAGCTTCATCCAGACAGGAGACTTCCATCCATATCTTTAAATCATCTGCGTAAATCAAACAATCTGCCCGTAGTACAGATGCCAGATCATTAATAAAGACTTTAAAAAGTTCAGGGCCAAGAACAGAGCCTTGCGGAACACCGCTGGTCATATTTACAGGGAAGGAAAAGGCCTCATTTACTTGTACACGGAAAGCGCGGTCATTCAGGAAATCAGTGAGCCAAGAGAGGATTTTTCCTGAAACACCAATACTGCGAAGTTTGCTAAGCAAAATTTCGTGTGGAACCTTGTCAAAAGCTTTACTAAAATCCACAAATACGACATCTAGCCGCTTACCAGCATCCATGGATTTAGCCCACTTTTCTCGAGCTACCAGAAGATTGGTGACACATGAACGCGAAGGACAAAACCCATGCTGCGCAGCTGAAATGATCTTGAGGTTCTGGAAGTGCAGGTTGAGAGCTCGCTTAAGAATCCTCTCCATAACCTTACAGACGACAGATGTTAGACAAATGGGCCGATAATTCGTAGGATCTTGCCGATTACCTCCTTTGTATATGGGCTTGACTATACCCGCTTTCCAGGCAAGCGGAAGACGCCCGGCCTCAAGTGAGCACCGAAATACGTGGCAGATAGGAACAGCGATATATTCGGCCACAATCTTGAGGAAAAGAGGATGCAGTCCATCAGGTCCCGGGGAAGAGTTGGGATCCAACTCGCACAAAAGTTTGTATACCACAGTAACATTTATGTCCATATCGCTGAGAGCGGAGAGCAAGGATGAATAACAATCAACTGACGGCACCCCCGTTGTATAGACCGATGAATAATGGCGAGCTAAAAGATTAGCTTTATCAGCATCGTCGTGGAGCACGGTATTAAGATCGTGGGAATGCAAAGACGGTATTCCACTTCCGGCTCTGGTGCTCCTTTTCAGGTAGGAGAAAAGCAGCTTCGGTATAGACTTGGAATATTCAGCCAGATGACCTTCGTATTGCTGCCGTTTCGTACGTTTTTTCGAGGTACATACGTTCCGGACCAATTTATAATTGCTATAATCGGTTTCCAACCTCGAAAGCCTATAGCGATTCCAAAGTTTGTGTCTTTGGTTCATGAGCGATCGTAGTTCTCGGTCAATCCAGGGGGACCTCTAGTAAATGGTTTTCGTTTGGATATGGGGACAGCATCATCAATAATGGACAACATTTTCGAGTAAACAAGGCTCCAAGCATTATCGACGTCCAAGTGCTGAGGGAGACTCCAATCCTGCTCGCTAGCGGCCTTCTTCAAGCGGTTTGGATCAGCACGCCAGAAATTCCGCCGATAGACACAGTGGTTGTGAATGCTCAACCGTGTGGTCCATTGAAAGGAAAGTAGGCAGTGGTCACTCCTCCCGATTGGTGGTAAGACATTCAAATCAGAAACATCCGATGGCGCAGGCGAAAGCACAAGATCGAGTATGTGCGGCGTCTGACCAGGGATAATGCGAGTAGGTGCCGCGACATGTTGAATTAAATTGCTTTCAAGAACAGCTTCCAGAAACGTAGAATCGAAGGAGGCAGGTGCAGCATCACAGTGAAGAAGATCCCAATCAACATTAGGGGCATTAAAGTCCCCCACTAATAAACAATCCTTGTTTCCACCATGCTTCTTTAGAGAGGCCAGTAAACGATCGCCAGAACTCAGGGGAGCTCTGTAGAAGACACCGAGAAGGAGAGATCTACATCCATCATGAATACGACACCAAAGCACTTCGGAGCAGTCATCACTTCCCAAGATAACATCAACTACATGGACCTTCAGGTTTTCCTTCCAGTAGAGTATGACGCCGCCCCCCGATCTCAAACCGATGCGATCAGCTCGGGAGAGACTGTAACCAGGAATATGTACTTCGGGATCTGGGATTTCTGGGGACAACCATGTCTCCGTAAACGCCATAAGGTCCGGGAGAAGTACTGACGCAAGATGCGCAACTTCATCTAGTTTATTACGCAGACAGCGCACGTTCGCAAAAAGTACGTGCAATCCAGTTGTTGATCTTAATGTCCGGGAAGGACAAGAACTGACTTCCAGCGCGTTCTCTGCACTTTCCGAACCACGCGAAAATCCTCAATACGCAAATCGGTTTCACCGTTCGCACGGCGAGTTCTCAATTCATCGACTGCGATCTTCATTTTAACGCGGTCTTCCGGGGATAGATCCCGTAACACGTGAAAGGGCTCCCCTTTGAGGCGCGAAGTTCGTCGAAGGAGCCGACGGCATTCATCTTCAGTTTAACATACAACGTTAAGGGGACGCACCTTGGAAGAATCTTCCTGTTTTCTGCCAAGTCGAAAAGCAGAGACGATATTAATCCCCGGTTCCCCCTCATCGAACAGTAGGGAGATCCTACGTTTTAGAAACAATTGGTCATCCAAAATTCTCTCTGCTGCTGTTGTCTTATCCGACTCCGGGGAGTTCATTATGATGAGACAACGTTCCCGGTTAGGGACTTTGGCGATCTCGGGGATCCGTGGCTTGGAAGGCGGCTTGTCCTGGAGCAGTTTCTCCAAATGGTCGATCCTATGAAGAACCGATTTTAGCCCACGCTTTGGAGGTGACGCTTTGTCTTCCACAGCCTTGGCTATAGGCTTACGTTTATGCACCACGGGAATCCGACTTGCGGGAGCAGCCACCGGGTTCTCCTTGACGACGGTCGCAAACGTCTTGGGCAGGGGCTTACTAGGCTGGTCACTAGAAATGTGTGGCTCTGAGGGCGGGGAAGAAATCTGTATAAGAACTGGCGTGACAAAATCAGGACACAAAGAAGGGAAAGAAGAAGGCGAATTTTGGGAAACAGTCGGTTGGGGATCGGAGTGAGCACTAGCAGAGCGGGGAGTAAAAGCAGGTAAACCAGAATGAGCCCGCTGGGTGTTGACTAATGTAAGACAAGAGTCACAAAAGATGCCAACAGAGGATGCTGTATACATCAGAAGACACTCATAAAAATTTGGTGAGATACCACAAGAAGTGGTATGCAACCAGCCGTCGCAGAAAGAACATTGAACGACCTTTGAGCGGGTAGTGACACCATTACCACAATCCAGACACTTGGACACCATGATGATGATAGGTAGACCAGCAGAAGATTCCGAGTATATTGCGCACCTCCAAGCCCGCCTGAATCACAAGAAAACGGACGAAATCCGATGGACGGTTCGTGTTATTCACCAACAGAAAGCAAAGCAACAGCGGTGAAGGGAGACAGACAAGGAAACAAAAGAGCTATAAAACAGGACGCATTGAGCTATCTAACTAATTGCGAAAAAACTACCCGAAGCCTGAAACAAGAAGTCGAGGCGCAAACTGCGAATAGTAGGGCAGGCCTATGCCTTACGAACATCCCGGAAAGAAAGATAAAGCACAAGAAATCTGAAAAAATGGATGAAATTTAAAACTGCAGAAGAGACAACATTGTGTACGAATGTGCAACTACAAAGACTAGTAGACATCATGCGTGCAATATTCACCAAAAGATGAGTAAATATCATTTCTTTTGCAAATTTGATTCGAATATAAATATATTTCATATGTTCTATACGTGAAACAACTAGGATTAGGAGCCATAGAAAATAACCTACCAATCAGAGGGGAAAAAGTTGGGCAAATGTTTTATAGTTAGCAGTGAGTGAAGTTCGATATCAGTTTACGTAATTATTCAAGCATCTCGAAAATAAAATTATCTATGTTTTATTTCAAGTGCAAATGTTATCCGCAGCTAAGCGACGCACAGAGTATATGCGTGTTTATATTTGGGGCTATGCATGAGAGATGGACAAGGTACTTGACAAAAGCTCCCCATTACCTGGGAATTGCGCGCAGTCGTATACAGATAAATAACGGCGCCAATACAATGTATAGCACACGTAAACAAGCAGCAAGTACAACCGACTGAAGCTCAGCTCTATCCTTTCTCGGTAATAACACTTCACTTAAATAAATTAAGAAATTAATTATTCACTTTTTCGCTGCACTAGTGATCTTACTTAAGCATTGAGACCGTCGCCAAATTTAAGGGTTACTTTCCCACATATGTTCAAAACGTTGTACTGCTCGAGTTGGTGTCTCAATTAATCAAGTGTGTGCGTTTTAAGAAACCTTTGCAAATAAAGGTACTGGAGACAACAATGGGAGCATGTAGTGAACATGACCGCGTTTGGCTTATTGAAATTAAAATGGAGACATTAAGGGCCTAAAGGTTTGTAGTGTAGCGTGTGCAACTTACATGCAGCTACTGTGTATACGGGTGCTATTAAGCTGGTCCACTTAGGCTGTTCTAGAACCCATTCTGGAGACCTATGTTCCCAACTAATTGTCACGGTTTCTTTAAGCCGTCCACAACCAATTGCCTAAACTTAGGAACAATGTCTGCGTTATCATTACACTTATGGAATCCTCCTGATTAGAGCTAATGATATTTTCTTCGTCTTGGCTGTTTTCCGACATCTTGGGAGTGATGTATATCTACCGCAGTTCTAGCTGTCGTCTTCAGGTTCTTAACGTTAATACCACTTTAACTAGTTTGCCTACATACATGTACATTTCGTAAGTTATAACTACTTTGGCTCTTTGCTGGATCTGTTTATCACCCTCACTAAATTCGAAACCTTTTTGGGTTAAAGTAGCACCGCACTTGCGTCAAGCGATCTTACTGCTTTCCTTCGCACTCATCCGGCAAACGGATGGATGGTAATGGAGCTTCCAATGTTTCTTATGTTACTTCACGGAAGTTCATCTAAGAATCCATATTATGGTGTTTTTCTATTGACAGCCTTAGCATTTCCAAACCAGCATCCCTTTAGTAAATGGTACAAATTCCATCCGAGTTCATGGAAGGCCAACGTCATCCTCTCTTAGACCTCAGCCATGAAATGTCAGTGGACGTTGCTATAGCTCTATTGTACCCCTCCCAGTTGCATGCCAGTGATTAACTACGCCAAACATCCAATAGTCGTAGAATGAAGGGCGTATTGCTTGAAGTCCAAATAGCTGACGCATAGATTTGCTAGCCATAAAAACCGCTGCTTATTTCCCCTACTTTACACTTCAGGCTGATATTGCTCAGGTCGCGGAAGGCCAGGTAAGTTCTTCCGTTTGGATTATAACTCCGCCATATCCCATAATATACGCGAAATAAACTGGTAATAAGTCCGCATTGGTTTGACTTTGAGATTCGCAGGATGCAGGTTGACCCACGTTTCCGCTCCCTCAGGATGTACATATAATCGCTACCGAACAGGCGAAAGAACTGTAAACAACAGCTGTGGGCCGCAGATCTGAGCAGCGCAGTTGAGCTGGTCTGCACCGTAATAACTAACTTGAAACAGATTTTTGGGTCCGTTAAACGGTGTTGCAGTGCAAATTCCTCTATCCCCGTGATACTTAAGCTTGACATCCGTGCAACGTCAGCCGACCAGGAAAATGCCTGCTTTATCGCGAACACTATCCGAGGTCGTTGGTTCGCAAGTCTTTGGTACCCAGTAGTGATATAAAGCAGAGGTTCCGGTAATCTCTTACCTCGGGATTTTAGATCTCGAAGCTCAGGTACACGGCACTTGGGTAAACCAAATCTCAACGAAACTGCCGGGATGGGCGCCATTATTCAACGCTTTTGAAAAGCAGGACGATGTGCTGCGGGAACCCATTACCTAGCCTTTTGTGAGACCATTTGGCTGCTGTTCACCCACAAAGTGAGGAGAGGTGATCGTTTGAGTAGGCTGTTAGGCCTTTACCTGGGCGTTTCTGCTAAGAACGCTTCCTTGCCAGGCTAGGCAACAGCCCCTTGGCGGCTGTTAATCCTGATTCAATAAGTATCACATGCCCCTGCCATATCCGAAACTTAATTGTTTATTTGCTGCTTTGCCTGTCGGTCTTCGGCGGATCAACCTAGATCAGCCGATTGCGAATTGCTTCTGCTTGCCAATGTGGTATATAGGGCCAAACTAAACTGCAAATTTTATAAAGAGCCACCAGCTCATCCACTCGACTGATCATGTTATCACTCGTGACACCGAACTACAAGTTGTCTAAGGATATCTGGAAATGGCCGAAACACACTTACAAGTTTATTGTCCTCTATAAGGTCAGTATAAAACTACTGAAAAATTAAGCTAATAACACAGAAAGAGACGAGATGATCGTCTCTTATGACGTCATCGTCACTAACGCACATTTCTAGGCCGTTGCTTGATGCTATGCTTACGAGTGATCTGCGCAATAAGTACGAAACTCCCACTCCCTTGCATGGTGAGTGAGCATAACTAAATATGTTAAGCTTGTGAGCATCCAGGTATTAAGTTGTAGTGACCAAAAGTTTACCGTGTTTATCTGTGTAAAATAATATTAGAAAATAAAATTATTGTATACCTTGACAACTTAAGAAGCTTGCCTGTTCTACCCAAGACTACGTATGTTTGCGTCAAGGAGACGAATCGCATTTCGTACGCACCCGAATTTTCGCTTCGAAGAGCGTTTGCTGCGTCTCGGCTGCCGAGTATATATTTTCCCTAGCTAGAACCATACTATGGTGTCTTCAGCAGGCGGTATTTGGCGTTTTTTATCAAACTTCTATATCGCCAATATGTTCGTCTTTTTCCGCCTTTTCCCAATGGCGGACCGAACCTGAGTGCAAAGAATATTCGGATGTCGCGAACACATTTCTCCTTCATATGTTCTTCATCTACTCTACCTGTAGACTGTACCTCCCCATTGCTTCGTGAAACGCAACCTTCAAATCTTTCCGTCCTGCGTGCCTTGAATTCATCAGGAACTCGCATCCCCATTTTCCCAACTTGCCTCTACACCTTTGACTCATTTTATTTACTATCCTCAACATCATTTCCTGCACAGATTAGGGTCGGTTGGTAACATCACTCCTCACCGATTACGTCTGTCGGTTGAATGTTTGTCCCCACCGAGTTTGTATATCTGACCCTTCCTTCCTTTGTGTATGAGCAGCAGTGGCTGTTGGTGAACGCTCCAAACATGCCAAATTCACACTCCCTTGTGGCTTAACCACTCCGTATCCCCTTTGGGTGGTCAAAAGTCTCACACCTATAACCGTCTTATGAACAAGTGGGGTAACTTAGTGTCGTGAATGCGTACTGTGGACACACTGATGCTGGATTAGTTGACTCGGACTAAACGATTGTCCTTGTAGTTGTTCTGAGTTTGCAATCATACTCGTTGATGTATTTATCGCATATAGCCATTTAGTCATATGTAAATAGTACCGTTATCCAGTTCGGGTTGTTGTTTCTTTGATCCCCGTGGAATAGACTCACTCGGAAATGCCAAGCGAATTTTGTCCTTTACACTGGGTCTATAGTGATCGAACTGTTCAGCTATAACTGGTGACCCCAGTAGAAAGGTTGATAAGGCGCTTACAAAGTATTTTTGGCATTTTCGTTAACTTCTGTGGTGTATTCATTCATATCCACTTTACGGATTACTTTGTATTCTTTTTGCCATGGCGCTTGTAAGGTAGTTGCCGTAGCTCAGATCAAAAATCTAACCACCGCCACTCTACCATGTAATAAAAGCGATCCAAAGCATTGGTTTGTTCAGTTAGAGTTACTTTTCGAGCAGCGTGGCGATAGATCTAAAATGCTCAAATATTTCCACATCGTCGGACGACGACGTCGACGATATCCTAGAACTGCCAACAGGGAGGTATACCTATGAGGAACTTAAAGCGATGCTTCTCAAACGTACAGGGCGCTCAAATCGCCTACTTGTCACAAAGCTCTGATCAAAACGGAGTTCGGTGACCTCAATACTTCGCAGCTATTACGAAAGATCAAATGTTGAGTCATACTTGCCATAGTAGACGACGAACGTCTCAAGGAAATATTGCTGCGTATATTGCGGTGTGAAATGTGCAAAGTACTCTACTGACGCTAATGGCTGATGCCGCGGTCAAGCTTTGGAATTGTATGGGCAGCTATACGCGTTCGCCTACGCCGAAGGATAAGAACGCCGAAATAAAAGCGACGAGCACAACACTCGTCAAGTAGTTCAATGATTTTATAACGCCTATGAGTTGTGACTGAGGCCATTCAGCAAGTCGCCAGCCGCTATATAGTAAACTATATCGGTGGAAACCACCATCCCAAACAGATTCCTACTGCTGGTATCATCAGCGCTTTGGCCCATAATGCAGGTCATGCCGCCCAACCTGTTCCATTGAATCAGAAAGCGCATGGAAAAGTGCCGACAAACAAGTAGGGGCGATGGAAAAACTGATCAATACGATCGCTTATTTATCGTTACCGACCGACAAAATTGACATTCGTTACCTCCTCAATACTGGCGCTGAAGTCAGCGTCCTTTCTTGTGCTCCTAACCACGTAACTGGGAAGCTGAACGTATATGTACTCCCAGATAACGGCACCAAGCTTGGCGTATGCGGTCAGCGCTCCAGCAAGCCAAACTCCAGCTGCGACGTTCCTTTCGTGGTGTATTCCATGTCGCTGCTGACCAGCAGCCTATCATCTGGGTGGATTTGCTTCGGCACTTCTACACGCCTATCTACGCCCATTGACAATGTCGCATCGATAAGACAACGAACTTTTCCATCGTTGGAATATCCAGCGATGTAGCACCGCTCAGCTCGGTGTACGCAACTGTCAACTCACCGGTCGGCAAATCGTTACCTGAGTTTACCCAAAGTCTTCCGACCTGCATGAACTCTGTCAACCGCCGCCGCAGCCACGCCGCAGCAACTAGGTACCAAGAGTCCGCCCTCTCCGCCAAAGCCCGAAGTATGACTCCAGAATAGCTAAAGACCGCCGGTGCTGAATCCAAGAACAAGATCGAACTTGTGCTCCTT